AAGCATCAGTATGTTTCTCTGGATTTTAGCTTCGTTTAACTTTTCTATCAGAGCCTGTTGGAGTCCTGTTTCATGTAATGTGCTGCACTCTAGTCTCAACCCTGATGTAGAGCCGGAGAGGTCAAAGGTCATGAGAATGGAGGGTGAATGCCGTGTGTGTGTGTACACTCCGATGAAGAACGACTTATAACGATGATGATGTTTCAGTAGCGTGGATTTTGGTTAATCTAGGGGAAAGTTCACCAAACATCCGTGAACCTTCTAACCAGTTTCCTCACTCCGGTGGAAATCTGAAATAATTATGTTGTTTTTCTTTTTTGCACATGCATCTTCATTTTCTGCTGCATTCTTTCTTTGCTATCCACCTCACTCAGTCTCTTTCTACATGTTTTTGAGGGAGCACATATACGCTCCGTATTGTTTCGTGTCTCAGCTCAAAGTGATTTATAGCAGATCCTCCTCTCCCCTGAGACCACCCTGCTCTGCCTCACCAGTTTGACACAGTAAAGCTCGAGTTCAGGCTGCAGGTCCTGTTATCCTTAGAAACACAAACGTGTAACGCCCGTCGTTTTAATTACAGCCAGGGTCACATCTGTATTTGATCACATGTGTGAGACTGCTCTCAACTCCTGAAGCCTTTGTTTAAAAATAGCAACTAATGACAAATCTCCATTTTATACCATTTAAAATGGTTTATTGCTGAATTTTGAAGGTTTCCAATAAGGTGGCGCATGTCTTGTGTAAAAATACTCATGTGTTTTGGTATGTCATTTCTTACGAAAGAGGCCTTTTGGGGTTCTTATAATCTTCCGTGAAGGGAATGCAGTATGCATCACCAGTAATCAACTCATCAGTGTGCGTCTACGTGCTTTAAAATATCCTCACTTGTTTTTCTGGTCTGCTGTGCCCACGCCAAAAAACCTCTCACACAATAATTACTTAATATGTTGTTCTGGAAATTTTGAACCTTAGATTGCTTAAGGACACTTCTTTGACCTGCCAAACTTCACTCATTCAGCATGCAAGTCTATCTATGTCCTAAAAGTATCTGTTTGGGGACTGTGCACAACCTTCAACTTAGGCTATGTCTAGTTAACTAATTTCAAAATCTCACATGGTCACAGAATTCAGGGATGTTGTCATCATACTGTTCATGTCTGAATAACTTAATTTTACATCACAAACACATACACCTGTAAAAACTGGACTTTCCTACCTTTAAAAAGGAAAAATTTACTGGACAATGTGATTTTTCTGGATTGCACTGAATTGTCAGAAATATTCAGTGCTGTGTGTAGTGTGTTCTCAAGTCACAAATTACTGTAATCACATTACACTTTTCAGTAACACGTTGTTATAGTAAATTAAGTAATTACATTACAATAATAGTTATGTGTTTTTCTTGTGTTACTTGGTTCTTCAGTCATCTGCATGTTGGGCTCAGAGGAGGTAAATGGTGGAGAGGTCTACAGCTTTTGAGGAATGAATGTTAACTTTATTTTTATTGTACGAAAGGACAAGATGTTGAAATGCAAAGTGAGTCCAGGACAGACAAACTGGATGATGCTACTAACACAGATAGAACCCAGATTGATGTTAAAGCTGAACGTATGGCGACTCCAAACCAGCGAACCAGGCCCTGAACTTCAACGGGCGTCAGTCAGACCTGCAGCCTCCATTTCTACCTGTACATCTACAGTAGAATCACCATGACGATCGCTTTGAAGTCTCAGGGAGGGGCGGCAAAACCACCAACACAAAGAAAAAATTTGCTTTGTGTTTCTGGTTTTTATGGTCATGCATTCAAAACTGAAAGAAAGACTGTGTATGCATCTTGTTTATAATAGTTACTTGTGTGGTCTGTGGAACTGGTAACTATACAAAATTGCATTTCAGGTCATTTATAGAATAATGTAACAGATTACTTCATATAGTGAGTAATTAAGTAACATTACTGCATTACTTTCAAGAACAGTTACAAGTAATATGTTGCACTTTACATTTCTGAGTAATATTACAGATACAAAGACTCCACACCTCTATGAGTCTGTCTTGAGGCTGGAGCCCAGCACGGTCTGCAGGTGACCCGGGGTCCAGGGAGCGGATGTACTGTCCGGGCCGCGACCGATCACTGTGAAGGTTGAAACCGTAGCCCATCTCCGACCGCACCAGGTGGCAGAGACGTGGAGCGAGCTCGGATGGGTTGACCTGGGGCCTCGACTGGGACTCAGGCTGGGTTTGAGCTTCAGCCTGGGCCACCTGCAAGTGAATGGGAAAAAGATGTTTGTCCGCCTGCTTTGCATAAATCCTACACAATACGATTAATCTACACTGTCAGTTAAGGGAAACCCTCAACAGAGACTAGAAAAAGAACTGGTGACTTGACACATCACTCATTTTAAAAGGCCATGCTTTGACAAGTTGTGTTGCCTGAGGACATGGCTATTGCAGTAGTGCTGGTACAATCAAATAGTGTGCATGAATATTTGTAACTGTACGCCATTCTTTGTGGCCCTTCTATTACAGATGTGTTAGCAACAACGGTAGGAACTTAATACTGTACTCAACCAGCACAATTTACTTGACATAGTCACCCACACACACACATTTTAAACTAATGACTCACAGCTATATTCCTAACAGCCAAACCACATCCATAGCTACAGTTAGAGTCATAATCACAGCTACAGTCACAGAGGCAGCGGTTGGTAATAAGCTGGCAAACTAGTTTGTTAGTTATCTTTCAAACTTCAGTGACACAGCTAAAGGATCAGACAGTGGTTACAACCAGCAACGGTCTGCTGTATCGTAACGCAGCTTTCTTCATGCAGGAAATACAACATCAGCTATGGCTTTCTTTCTGTGAAGCAACTATCGAACCAATTTGAGGTGATTCGAGCTTTGTTACATGGGGTGTTATCCTGCTGGAAGCAGCCGTCAAAAGATGTGTACACTGTGGTCATAAATGGATGGGCACGGTCAGCTATAATGCTCATATAGACTGTGGTGTTTAACAAATGGACAGTTGGTACTAAAGGGTCCCAAAGTGGGCCAAGAAAATATCCACAACGCTATTACACCACCATCATCAGCGTGAGAATAAATCCATGTTTTCATGTTATTCAGGCCAAACTGGCCCTACTGTCAGAGTGTCACAAAGGAAATTGAAACTTATCAGACCAGGTAACATTTTTTCAATCCTCTATTGTCCAGTATTGGTGAGTCTGTGTGAACTTTCCAGTTCTTAGCTTCTGGTGTGGACTTCTGCTGCTGTACTAAGTTTTACATTCAAAGATGCTCTTCTACAAAGCGTGGTTGTTTCTGTTGCCTTAAAGCAGTCTGGCAATTCTCCTCTGACCTCTGACATCAACACGGCATTTTTGCCCAGGGCTCCCTGATGCGACCATTGTCTGTAAATGGTCTGTTTTGTGTGGTAAAATCCCAGTTGATCAGCAAGTCACTTACTGCAAATGACCTTTCTTCCCCATTCTGAACTTTAGCAGGCCACTGAATTGCTGCCATGTGATTGGCTAATTATTATGCATTTGTGTTAACACATAGTTAAACAGGTGTACCTAACAAAGTGGCTGGTGAGTGTATATACCATAGGAACAGAAAAAAAAAATGAAAAAATATAAATTGCCAACAGTTATCAGTTCATGATGTCAGAAAACAATAAAAAGTGTGAACAATAAAAACCGTGAGCATCAGAGAGAGAGATGAGATCAATCGCAGCTGATGTATGGTCTGCAGAGACGTTACATCACAGCAGTGGTATTTATGTAGGGATATATGTACAATGGTTCATATGTAAATATATAAAAAAAGATGGAATACATCAAAATGACACGCTCCTTTCTGCAGAGCATGTGATGATTTTCAGAAGCAGATAACTAAACACGCTCCACCACCTTTCCACTCCACTGGGTGAATATTTTATACATAAAAAGCGATGCTTAACTTCAGTGGTAATTTAATCAATTTTGAATAGTTCCGGCTGATTTTTTGTTGGTTAACAATAACCTCCTTTTCATGTACCACCATTCACTCGTTTAATAGGATGTCTGATTTTATTATAAGATTTCAGTCTGGACTGAAAATGTCCATTTGCAGCATATCTCTGACTAATAGCCTGGGTGAAGACATTTATAGAACCTGTATAATTGTGCCTTGAGTTCTACAGTGTGATCATGCTGATTTACCCTCCTACACACCCAGGAGAGAAATGTGCTGCGAGAGGGATGGCCAGCTCCATAACCCCTGCTGATATTAGCGTTGAGATAACAGACAGGCTGAGCTGGAGTCCACAAAATGTACACACACTGTGTTCACATGATGTAGCTCCAGCCACATTACGCAACTTGAGAAGCCTTTTGCTTTCACTGCATATGCAAAAACTAAGATCACGGTCCAGCTTGCGCCGGCTATAAATACATATGGAGCATGTGGGCAGGGTGAGAGAGAAAAGAGACAAAGGTAGTATGGTGTGTTAACAGGAGATGATGGTTGATGACAGCTTCTTCTTCTTCTTCTTCTTTTTTTCCCTATTTTCTAACTCGTCACTCATTTCCATTCAACTTCCTGGACATTAACGCAAACGGCTCCCGAGAACATGAATCTCCACAGCAGTTCTCACCAAGAAAGACCTCAAAAATAACAAAGATGGCAACATATAATTTCAGTTCAGGCGCAGAATTCTTTAGGGCAGCAGTGATCTGGGCAGCTTGCCATTAGATGGAGGGAGAGAGAGAAGAGAAGGGAGTAAGAACTGACAAACAATGGAATAATTCACAGTCCTCTGTTTCCTGGCTGGAGAGGAAGTGCCTGGGTTGGGCAGCTGGGGCGGACTGTCCAAGGGAGAGAAAAAATATTTGCAATATTGAATGCATTAGTATCCTGGGATGTAGGCAAAGGGAATTAACAAGAAAATGACAGAACGGAGGAGAGGAGGAAGGCAGAGAGAGAAGTGAATGAGTGAGCGTGCATGAGTGGGAGGGATAGAAAATTAGATGCAGTGAGAGGGCTGGGAAATAAAGTTCAAGAAAAAAGAGAGACAGGCAACTTAAGAATATGCAGAGCTAACAGATAAACACAGAGTGCTAAGAGAAATCATGATGACAGAAGTTTCCAGTAAGACACGATGGCGAGGTCTGCAGTGGAACTCCTCTAACATAAACACTGAGAGGAGCACAGCTGGGAGTTATTAGGTCGGGGGAGACGTAAGCGCCTGCCAATCTAACCTCCAACCGCCTCCCAGTGCCTGTCTGCACCCCACTAATCACCCCCTGGGGTCTGTGCCATCTCTTGAACTCCGTGTCCTCAGCATAGTGTGCATTCAGGACACTTTATTTTGGCGCTGTGGGTTTCTTCTGCATAAAACTAAGAGCACAGGTTAGCTGCAGGTCTCACTCACATGTATGTGTGTGTACTCCGCTCCACATCGAGGAAGATTAATTTGGGCAAGAGGAAATTGTAAAGGACGGAGGCGCTGATTTGAAAGATTTGAAGGGTGACAGCCAAAAGCCTCGGAGGGCTTTAAGTTACCACACAACCTTGCCAAAAGCGCAGGCAAACAAATGAAATGTAGCCACTGTGTTTGTTTGAACTGTGGGTGCTGAAAACCTAATGGTTTTTGGAGAAAATATTTTGATGAAAGAGAGAAAAATGAGATGTAATGTTCTTATTTTTGTCAGCAAACTAGCTCGTCATCATTAAAGTTATCAGCATTAGACATTTTGTTTTTCAAAACAGAGTGCCACATGGGAAGAGAAGCGATAGGAAATGCTGGAAAAAAACAGAGAGACCATGTAACTACAAGTTCATGCAAAATGACCAGGCTGCTTTTCTATAAGGAATATGGAATATTCCACTCTTACTGCTGTACATTAAACATGACATGCAAACGCATACTGACCCGAGCATCCTGACTGTGACTTCCTGAGACGATTTGCTGTCAAAGGGATGAGTGCCCTTCAAAGGATTGCATTAGTTTCCAGCCACAATGACATTTTGCTGGTCTCAGTAGATGCATGTGTGGGTGAATACCCAAGTCATTTCTTTAACTCTGTAATTGGGTTTATTTTGATTGCACTAAAAGTTTGAGGGCTGAACTTTCTTTTGTTTAATGTATGAGATGACATGCCAGAACTGGTTCACTTTATTTTCTTAGGCTTATTTTTTTCCATTAGCAGCTTTTGCCCAGTTAGTTCCATATTTTGTACAATAGATTTATTCACTGGTGAACAGATTCATTAGCCATTGGTAGCTCAGTTTGTCCTTCGGGACAAATTGTGTCACTTGGGAGCCGTCTTAGTAGCTCAAAATGGATAGTGACATATAAACTGCATATACAAAAACACTTGTCAAGTCTAATTAAAAACACTTTAACCTAAAATCTGGTCATTTTATTGCAGGTTATACTTAATACATGTGCAAGTTATGTAACGTACGATGGTTGTCCATGACTTGGCAGGGCTGAGTTTGATTCATGGCTCTCCCATGACTTCCAGCCCATGTTTCCTCAGGCTAGAAAACTGCCACTTTGTGTCTTTGAGACATTCCTGCAGTTTAACTATTTGGTGTGTGTCTTCTGGCTTCCTTGACAGACATAGTTGTGTATCATTTGCATAGCAATAAAAATGTATGCTATGCCTGATACTGATGATACTGTCTGGGGGAAGCATAATAATGTAGAGTGAACTGGTCCTAGCACAGAACCCTGTGGAACTCCATAATTAACCTGTGTGTGTAAGGACGCCTCATTTACATGAACAAATTAGAGCTTGTTAGATAGACATGATTCAAACCACTGCAGTGCAGTTGCTTTAATTCTTATGACATGAATCTCTGTAATAAACTATTGTGGTCGACAGTATTGAACACAGCACTGAGGTCTAGCAGGACAAGCGCAGAGACAAGTCCAACGTCAGAGCACTAAATCAGTGGAAGGTCTGAGAAATCAGAGAGAAACGCTGAGTAACTGGTAACTTCCTGGGTTCTTGCTGCCTGCCTGGCCTCAGCTCCTTGCAGTTAATTGTCATTTTTACATAAGGAGGATTTGTTTTTTTAAAACCTTGGGTTAGATTGAGGCCACCCTTTCCCCTATGTTACCAGTCTTAACAAATAAAGCTCTATTTCTCTACCTGAAAGTAGATCTTTTTTTCTCCCCAGAAAATGACTGAAGTCAAGACAAAATTAGCCAAAAAAAGGCAGCACTAAGCTGTGTTCTGGGGTCTTCTCACCATTTCATATGTATATGT